AGTTAAATTTTGAAAACCTTGTGTTTTCTTTCAATTTTACTAATTGCCAATATTGTGCACTTCTAAAATAACTCATTTTCATTCATAATTGTGTCTTAAAGTATAGTGTCTTTTGTTCTATTTGTGAAAACCAAAGAATTCATCCTGAGTTTTTTTGTGGTTGTTCATAGCTTTTCTCTAATTAGAGAATCTAGGTTTATGTGATACAAAATTAATGCATTTTAAGGGGAAATTCAGTCAATCAAACAATCTAATCTATATTCCCTAAAATGATTAATTTACTATTGTATCATGTAGACACATCAGTAGTCTCATGTCTTCCATTTCCCTATCTACCATGACATGTTATTAGCAAAACATCTTGAATTCTTTTAAAAGTATTATTATATAAAACAAGAAATTGTTTATTACTAGAATAAATATATCTGATGAATCAAAGCCTGTTGATATACAGCAGAATATAGAGATAACTGAGCTTAATTGTTCATTTGCAATTTTATTTCCATTGCCCTTATTAAATCAGCCTTGTCTCATACTGTTTGATGAGGTAGCTATGGTTTGCAATGGAATGTTAGCAAATTTGGATGAGACTGTTCATCTCTGTCATTGATTTTAGTGGCTGAGTCTCCTTTAAAAATAACTCCTTCTTGCGTGGTACTATAAACATCTTGTTTAATGTGTATAATCAATCTCAAAAATCCAGTTTTTGAAGCTCTGAAAAACAAATTTTATACATATGGCACAACGGCTTGACCTAAACGTTCAGCTCTGTTCTACCCTGTTCCATATATCGTATTTCTAAGTCTTATCTCAAAAATATGACTCTGAAATGGTAATATAAATCAATTTAAAAAAAAATTTTTAAGTAGCAGAAAACTTCTGAGTAAAAATGGTGGAACAGAGCAGGATAACAGACTGTCCCTCAGTGAATAACAAAATGAACCACCCCTCCCTGTCCCCAAAAGATGGAGGAGAGAACAAGCCAATGATTCAAGAAGTACAACCAACCATATGCTGTAACCTTTCATGGATCCAAGGAGAAAAATACAAGATGCTCCCATCCTCCCCACACCCACTACCAATAGTACTGAGAAGTCAAAAGTAGTACTAAAAGTTCTTAGTTATACTCTCAAATCTGGAGAAAAGCAGACAAAGAAATTGAGTAGGAAACCATGGCAAAAATAAGGGAAAACACTAAAGAGTAAAAAATCCATTGCTGTCAAGTTAATTCCAACTCATAGCAACCATATATAATGATGACACTTAACAGTAGTTGTCCATAAAAACTACTAATGGACCTCAGGAGAGGCAGAAAAGGCCAATCTGGATAAGCCCAGGTACTGGATAATTTGGGGTGTTGTATAGCTGAAGTCCTCAGAAGTGTGATTAAAAATCTCAATAAGCTGAATGAGCCCTACTGCAGGACTTTCAGGAGGAGCTCGAGAGAGTGATTCAACCATGTTTATTATGCCTTTTGTGATATCTAGTTTATTATTAAATCTTTAATACCGTTGTTTTGTCCAATTTGTTTCCTTATCTCTGCAAAGTTTTTTAATCTATTTTGTATGAGATTTCTCTTTGGTTTCTCTCTTAGAGAATTTACATTCTCAATAAGTTCTATAGCTTGAAAGGCTGATGGGGAGTCTGCTTCTATTTCTTGGGTCATGACCCTATGTCATCTGACCCTTCATGGGATCGATATGAATACTGAATCTTTCCTTCCTTTCTTCCTTCCCCATCTTGATTATGCTTAATGTGGACAACTCTGTCCAGACCAGGATTGCTATGTTGCAGAGCTCCAGGATAATGCATTCACCCTGTATTCTTTGTAGTTGGTTTTGGTTCTGTTTATTCTAATATAATGCGAATCATTTCTCCTGATGTCTATCATGGCTTCAAAAATTGGAATTAGGTTATTTTCCTTTGTTAAAGGATAATTATTTTTTATGTTATACGAAATTAATATGTGGTTCCTTTTAGAGGCTCCAGAGGAGAATCTATTCCTTGCCTTTTCCAGCTTTTGGCAGTTGCCATTGTTCCTTGGCTTGTGGGTGTACCTCTCCAATCTCTGTTGCTGTTGTCAAATTTCCCTCTGCTTCCCTCTTAAACAAACACTTGATATTACATTTAGCGCCCACCCAGATAATCAATATACTCTTCCCATCTCAAGATCCTTAACCTAATCACAGCTGCAAAGTCTCTTTTGCCATATAAGATAACATTCACAGGAACAGTGTAAGTATCTTGGGGGCCATTATTCAGCCCTCTGCAACTCCCTACTTTTCACATGATGTACAAAAATCATTCTAGGTAGAGTATAGATATTAAGTAAAGATTGCAGAGGAGAATATAGGAGAATAACTTCATGACCTTGGGGCAGAAAAAGATTTCTTAAATAGGACACATATAGTACCATGAAGGATAGATTGATAAATAATTGACCCACACTAAAATTAATAACCTTCATTATGCAGATGACACAACCTTGTTTGCTGAAAGTGAAGAGAACTTGAAGCACTTGCTGACGAAGATCAAAGACTGTAGCCTTCAGTATGGATTACACCTCAACACAGAGAAAACAAAAATCCTCACAAGTGAACCAATAAGCAACATCACGATAAATGGAGAAAAGATTGAAGTTGTCAAGGATTTCATTTTACTTGGATCCCCAATCAACATTCATGGAAGCAGGAGTCAAGAAATCAAAAGACTTGTTACATTGGGCAAATCTGCTGTAAAAGACCGCTTTAAAGTGTTAAAAAGCAAAGATGTCACTTTAAGGACTAACGTGTGCCTGACCCAAGCCATGGTGTTTTCAGTCACCTCACATGCATGTGAAAGCTGGATGATGAATAAGAAAGACCAAAGAAGAATTGATGCCTTTGAAGTGTGGTATTGGTGGAGAACATTGAATATACCATGGACTGCCAAAAGAACAAACAAATCTGTCTTAGAAGTACAACCAGAATGCTCCTTAGAAGCAAGGATGGTAAGACTATGTCTCACATACTTTGGACATGTTATCCTGGAGAAGGACATTATGCTCTGTAAAGTAGAGAGTTACTAAGAAAGAGGAAAACCCCCAATGAGATGAATCGACACAGTGGCTACAATGGGCTGAAGCGTAACAACGATTGTGAGGATGGCGTGGGACCGAGCAGTGTTTCATTCTGTTGTACCTAGGATTCCTATGAGTCGGAACCGACTCGATGGCACCTAACAACAAAATTAAAAACATATGTTCACCAAAACTCACCTTTAAGAGATTAACAAGGCAAACTGTAGAACGAAGGAGTAAAGGTATTTGCAATATTTATAGTTGGAAAAATATTTTATCATATATGTGTGTATATATATGTGTATATGTGTGTAAAATCAATAAGGAAAAAACAGACAACTGAACAAATATATGGACAAGAAACGCTGACACTTCACAGAAGACGATATCCAAATGACCAATAAACATAAGAATATGCTCAAATTCACTAATAATATCAAAATAAAATTTAACATAACAATGAGCACAGAATAGTTAAAATTTAAAAGATGGCAATACCAAGTATTGGTAGACTATGGATCAATCAACTAGAACTCTCATACACTGCTGGCAAAGAGTTCAATTGAAGCAAGCAGTTTGGAAAACTGGCAATAGCTACTAAAGCAAATCATATGGATACTCTATAAAAGAGCAATACTACTCCTAGATGCTTACCAGACTGAAATTCATTCACTGCAATATGAGAAGACACATGCAGGATTGTGATGGCACCATTCTTCTTAATAAGTAAAAGCAGGAAAAATGTCCAAATACAGAAGAAAGGATGACTAAATTGTGTATGTAGATTCAATAGAATATTATAAAGCAAAGAAAATGAATGAACTGCAGCATGGATGTGATCTCACAAACATAACATGGAACAAAATGAAATAAGCACAAAAAAACACATACATTGGGATTCCACTCATATGAAGATTAAAATCAAGCAAAACGACTCCTTGCTATTAAAACATCAGGATAGTGGTTATTTCTGGTAGGGAAAGAAAGGCATAGTGATTGTTAGGGCTTCTGACAGTGCAAGTCATGTTAATTTTCTTAACTTGGGTGGTGTTTATGTGTGTGGGTCCTCTTTGTGATAAATTGTTGAGAAATATGCTTAAAATCTAGATAATTTTTATAAGTTACACTTTAAGAAATTTTAAAAAAATAGAGATCTATGTACTCACTTGGAGAGATGCTGAAAATTTTTTGGTAAATGGAAAGAGAAAGTTGGATAAAGCTATTTAAAGCATGGTCTCACTTTTAAAAATAAAACCAAGGGTGTATATAAATGTGTGATGTGGATAGATAGAGGATAGATAAAAAAGAATGCATTGTAAGATGGAGGATGGACTTGGGGAAAGGGCAATTTCTCTTGTATTTTGCATTTATCTGCCAGTTTAATTTTTATGAGAGACATGTTACCTCGTAATTAAAATATAAATAATTTTAAGAAATGAGAAATAATAACCCATTGCTGTCGAGTCGATTCTGACTCATAGCGACCCTATAGGAAATAAAATTTATAAATTGGATTCAAAACAACAGTAATAAATACAAGCTATTCAATATTCAATCTGTATCAGGCACTTTTCACTTATTTTTCTCTTTAATTGTCATACTAGTTCTAGTAGTCAGTTGTTTTCATGATCTCATTTTAACATGTAAGGAAACTGAGGCTCAAAATAGTTAAAGTCATCAAGCTATTAGGAAGCAGGGCCAGAATTTCAACCTATGTCAAGTTAGTACCATGAGAATACCATGCTATTCTCAGCCTATGGAAAATAACATCTATTTCTAATATAGTAGTTAAGTTAAATAATTCTCTAGTAACACTCCTACCGTTACTCCGAACCATTACTCCTTAAAAGCAAAGTTTGTGTTTAGTGAATGACTAATTGTCATTGAATGAAATTTAAATATACATTAATTATTAATTTTAGTGTTTTATTTGTTCTTGAAGGTAGTGAGAAGAATTTTGGAAAACAGTTTCTTCATTTATTTCTTGTGGAAGGAAGGCCCACAATTAAATATGGATGTGGAAGTTCTCAAAATATCTTGACACTTTCTGCCAATTACAGCATTAACACAAATGTATTCATCCCCATCACAATACAGTAAGTATCCCACAGTAGTTATTTGAACTGTCGTGTGAGACCTTATTTTTAAATTTTATTTATATGTGTAATAACCATCCATAAACGGGATGAATTCATCTGAAAATTGTTTTGCCAATCTTTTTTTTTTTTTTTTTCAGTTTGGTGGTATAAACTACAAATTGAACTAAGGTGTAATTTGATACCATCTAGTGGTGATCAAATTTTACACAAACTAAATTCATTTATTTAAAAATATCATGGAGCAAGCAAATAGATTAGTGTGAAGACTAGGTGGTCAGTTGAAATTAAGATCTAGTTTGATTGCTCAATAAGATATCTATTGAGTGAAAAGAAATTGAAAAGAGCCATTGACTTTTGCACAGAAAAAGAAAAAGCCAGGAGAAAAGAAAAACCAACTGAATATTAAATTAAGATGTCTCTCTGGATCATATGAATTTTTGGAAAGCAATCTTGATATCAGTTCATGCTTCAGAATTAAGAAATCTCAGAACAGAGACTTGGCTAAATATGATGGTCACATCTCAAGGGCATTACTGAACAAAATTTACATGTAGCAGCCAAGAATTTAAAATTCTTCATCAATATAGCAATCTATGGATAACAGTCTCCGAAGTTATTCTATGCTAATGAAAAATAGAATTTTGTTACTGGATGTGTGTGTTAGATGACAACGGGATAAGTTAGTCTAATCAGCAGGAGTCTTGGCTAACCTATGAAGGTTATACAAATCAAAAAACTTTCCCAGGGTATGCATCAGTCTGAAAATAAAATCAAGGAAATTGACAGCAATCTGAAAATGTAAACTCTTTACTGTCAGGGACTATATCTTACTCATTTTTAATACACTTAGCAGAGCATCTGACAGACAAGAAATGCTCAGTAAATGTCTGAAGAAATGAGGGTATCTGCATTGGGCAATTCAGTTAATTATAACAAGAAGGTAAAGAAATTACCCTAAGGTAATGAAATTATTATTTGTAAATTAGACAATACCCTTTTGGAACATTGAGCTCTGTATAGACAAAATAAGCTCTTCCAGAGCAATGAACTTAACTCCTATTTAAATCATCTCTCTTACCAGTGTTTGCTGTTGATCACAAAAAGGGGCCAGAGTTAAAGCTGAATAACTTAGAAAATGATTTAAAAGGAATTTTCTCTTGATAAGGTTTTTCTCATGTCATCATTTTATACAAACAACGAATGGAACATTTCGATTGTATAAAGTAATTTCTATTTTTTGGCAAAACTTTTTTAAAGGAATGATTTGATTTTTTGTTTTTTTAAGTAATTAATGATAATCTGATTAACCCATCCTCAGACAAACTACTTGCATCCTAGGTAGCCTCATGTTGAGAGCATCCTATAAAAAAATATTGACACCTCCAGTAAAACTGAAAAACAAGGACTTTCCAAATCTTTAATCTTATCCAAACTTTGGAAAGTGAAAAAAAGAGATTTTCTACTGATGCAAAAACACAACTCTGCTTTGTCTTGTAGTCAAAATCCTACAATAGCTTGCATAAAAGGCTTACCTTAAGACTATATATTTTTAATTAAACAAATCATAATTTAAAAAGATTTTGAGTGCCTACGTGGTAAATGCTCTCAATGTGTCTGAAAATCTGTCTTTCTCATATCTCTTTGCATTTCTTCTATACTTATTTTCTGTTTCATTTCATTTATTTATTTAACAAATGGCTCTTATTTGTGGCACTATACTAAGCTCCAGAATTCAGTGGTGTTATGAATTGAATTGTGTCTCCCAAAAATATGTGTTGTAAATCCTAACCCCTATACCTGTGGTTATTATCCCATTTGGGAATGTTAATGAGGCAATATTAGTGTAGGACATGTCTTAAATCAATCTCTTTTGAGATGTAAAAAAAGCAGATTGAGATGCAAGCAGAAATGGAGGAAGATAGATACCATACCATAGGCAGATCACCAAGAAACCAAGGAACAAGAACCTTCCCCTAGAGCCAAGAAAGAGAAAGCTTTCCTGTACAGCCAATGCCCTGATTTCAGATTTCTAGCCTCCTAAACTGTAAGAAAATAAATTTCTATTTGTTAAAGCCACCCACTTGTGGTATTTGTGTTATAACAGCACTAGATAACGAAGATAAAAGGTAAACCAAAACAGAAAAATCTTAATTCTTATGTGTTTAAAGTTTAACAAGGAAAATTGACAGATAGTCACACTACAGAGGGAATAATTAAAATTTGAGATGTGTTGGAAATTTAAAAAAAAAAAAAAGAAAAGCATGATACAAGAAGAGAAAGTCAAAAAGTAGCCTGGCTAAGACTAGCAAGACCAAGGAAGTTCTCTGGAAAAAAAAGTACTGTATTTTTACCTAAATAATGGGTGCCTTCTGTGTTTGTTTGCCAGCTGCACCCTCCCCTGCAAGGTGTTTTTGTAAGTACACTATGTTAATTTTTTTACAGCATCATGTAGAGGAGGAATGGCATGGTGGCACTTGTAAGGTGCCTTGCAGGGGGAGGGCACGGCCGGCAAACAAACAAAGAAGGCGTGTGTTATTTGCGTAAAAATATGGTTATAGTGAACTTGGTAAAAAACAGACATGACATGTATTCCAGGCAGAGAGCAGAATATGTGAAGACCCTTTAGTGGAAGGACGCTGACATATTCAAGTATCCAAAAGATCAGTGTAGATGGAACAGAGAAGCAGAGGAGGGTGGGTTAGTATTAGAAGACAAAAATTGAAAGGTCAGCAGTTGGTAAATGCTGTAGGTTTTTTAGCCATGTTAAGTAATGAATTGAGAAAGGTCAGTTAGATGGCTATTATAGTAGTCCAAGTAAGAGATAATTGTGACTTAGACTAGAATGGTGTCAAAGAGAAATTGAAAACTTTAAGACATAATTAGCAAGTAAAATGGATAGGACTTATGCATGATTGAATACCAGGATTACGAACAAAGTGATGTCAAAAATGACTACTCATTTCCTGACATGTGCAACTGGATAGAAGATGTTATCATCTACTAAGATAGCAAACAATGCAAAAAGAGCAGGTTTGATGGGGAAGATCATGAGTTCAGGGTTGAGCATGCTAAGATTAAGGTGCCTTTGAAACATCCAAGTAGAGTTTTCAAGTTGAATATATGACTCTAGAGCTCAAAGGAGAGGTCTGGATGGGAAATATAAATTTATGAATCATCAGTGTGTGTATGATAATTGAAACCATGGGCATAGATGAGGTACTGTGAGAAGAAAAGCTGCCTAGGACTCCATCTGGAGGACTTAACATTTAATGATTCAGTAAAGGAAGATGAAACTGTAAAAAATCTGAGAAAGAGTAACCAGAGAAGTAGGAAACAAAGAGAGTACAGTTCAGGGAAGGCAATGAAACGTTTATCAAACTCCTCTGATAGTGCATTTGTCTGTCCATATGATTCCATGACCTGGAGACTTCAGTGCTGGGGGATAGAGTCAGAAGCCAGACCGGAGTTTATGGGAAAATGAGTGGTATATGAGAAAATTGTGATAATAAATACAGACAACTCTTTCAAGAAATTTTACTTTGAAAGTGTGAAGAAAGGTAAGGTGGTAAGTAGAGGGAAGTGAGGAATTAAGAGGAAACAAAATTTAAGAGGGAAGATATTTAAGCATGTTTAATTGTTGATTGGAATGATTTAGTTCAGTGGAAGGTAAGAAAGAATAATTGAGAAAATGAAGTTTATCAGAGTTTGAAGTGATAGGATACACGGAACAGGAGGGAGAATTCCTGTCAGAGAGGAGACAGAATGGAGAGAGAGACATACTCATTGAGGCTTCTGATTTCTATCTTTGTGGATGTACCTTGATCTATGACTGTATTTTGTTTTATCCTACTCTATCCAGTTGTTTATGCCACCTTCTCTCTCTGTCTCATGCAATCTCTTCTTACCTCTCATCTTTAACTGGGCATAATTTAGAATTAAAAGGATCTTTTTGTACAGGTCTCCCTAGCTATGCTAATTATCACTAAAAGAAATCTCACTACCCAAATTCAGGATGAATTTCTCCCTAAAAATCATATGGATTAGGTTCCTTTTTAATTAAATGAATATTGATGAAATGTCTTCCATATCTAAGTGGTTCTTGACACTAAAATACTCATGACATGATTGATAAGAACTTATTTTCAGAAACTAATGGAATGAGCTCTAAGATGAACATGTAAAAACGATGGCTTTTTTATTTTGTTATTAATCATTAAGAATAAACATGTCAGTATTTCCTCCTACTAAATCTGCATTATATCGGTTGGGTAGATGGCAGAAGTAGAACAAACCTGAATAAGCCACTTGTAGTGATTGAGGTCAATTCAGTATCAAGATAGAAGTTCTTGTTAAATGAAATGGAGCAGAGATCATAGTTCTACAGATACATTGTAATTCATACTCATGCACAGTTTGTCTTTCATTTCAACAAATTTTGAAAGGGATCACATAGAGCTATTGGTTTTCACAAGGGTTATTCTCTTTGGGGGAAGTTCAGAAAAATTGTCTTACTATATATATAACTTTTTAAAAGTTTCTGAAGTTTAAAGTTTTCTGGCACCTTTTGTGTCTGTCCTACACAAGAGCTCACTCTTTACCCAGTATTTTGTTCCCTAAAGGATCTCTGTGCCCTTTTCGTTAGATGATTACTATATTATCTGCATGTTTTAGAGCTACATATCCTATTCCACCTTCCCTAGAGTCTACCACCCCATACACATGATAGTTTCTCAAAGATTTCTCCAAGGGTATAAAGTTATCCATGTCCCTCTAAGACACACTCTAATATCTAGCAATTCATTTTAGTTAACAGATTCTTAGGGTAGTAAAGACAAGTTAATGTTGGCCTAAAATTGCATAATTGCCAGAACCACCATTTCCCCATTAGCTACTTTTTAGCAGCAGGTCACTGTAAGGGAGTGGATGGTTTAAGACCAATTGTACAGAGGCTGGAAAATTTTCAGGCGTTGGGCAGAAATAACCCTAGTACTTGCTAA